AATAATTCACTCAGTTTGAGCTGTTGCAAGGGTCCCACTGTTATTTGCCTCACCCACAGTAGATGCTATCACAAGGAAAGGCTGATCATATGGACAAGCAGCACATAATTTTCTTCTCATCTGACCCTCAAACTTAGCAATTTTCTCTTTTATAACATTTTATGGAGAGGAAAGAAGATGATGAGTAGGGGAAAGAATCGGTAACAGAGAAGATAATAGTAAAAAGAGTCAGGAAAGAGGTGATATATAATTTACTATGAACAGCAGCAGCGGCACAAAGACTTCAGGAATTACATAGACAAAGCACGAACAAAATCTACATTCTCAATATAGAAATTTTCTTGCATTTTGTGTCCTTTCTTTCCACTTATTTTGGAATATATATTTTAAGGATTCATTTTAATAAAAGAAAAATATCTTCCTTTATAGAAGTACATGTTCTTCTGGCTAAAGTGATACTGTCTGGACATTTGATGCAACAGTTCAATAGGTTTTGGCAATGCAGAAAGGCATAACATGGTAATGAGACAGAAATAAGAAGTGTTTAACAAAAGTTAGTCTTAATTCAAAGTTTTGTACAATCTACTATATTTGATATGTATATGAAATGATAATAACAAAAAACAAAATAAATACAAAACAACAGACAAAATAAAAATACTGTTGTTTCCTTTGGCATCACCTGTAGTATGACGTGAATTGAAACTGGTATGGTACTATTTGGTAGCCACAGGGTATCAGAAATAGGACTGCTAGTTGGTTAGTTCTTTTTAGAGGAAATTTTCACACAATGCTGTAATTCTGAACAGCTTCAGCCTGTTAGGATGAGCCACAGATACATCCAGAGACTCTTTCACCACTAAGGTTTTCACAGCCATGTGGGGATTTGGGAGAGATTTTTGTGTTATTTTTGTAAAATAAGAATAATTAAAAAAAAATTATAAGAAAATAACTGCAGTGGAAGATATTTCATCTTTCTAAACACAATGAGGAACCTAAACAAAACTACAGAAACATAAAGTTTATCTTATTCCCTAAACTCTCCTTCCTTAATTCTGTTATGAGTGTATGGGTGAAACTAATTTTTCTTACCCAATGTAACTTCATTTACTGCTTTTTTTTACAGCTGAAAACTGCATCAAAGCTGGATCACACCCTCTCCCTATCTTTAGTCAGCCACATCCACCTCTCATCTTCCTTCTTGTGGCTACTGCAAACAAGAGGCAACATTATTTCCAGCAGTGAAAAGAATATACTTTCAGAAATAACTTCACTGCATACTTGTCAGGTGAATATCCCACACAAACAGCTTTTGTGGCACAACCACAAACCATTAAGCAGGCAAGTGCAAAGCCCTCCTGCTCCTTCTGCCCTTCCACTGATGCTCAGGGTGGGTTTGTCTTTGCAGGATAAAACACATTCCCCTTCTCTGGCTGACTCCAGACAAGTGTTCACACAACAGCAAGGGCGAGGTTGTAAGCTTTGTTGTAAAATGACTGTATGTGAAACAAGGAATGACAGCATGTGGTGGGATGCTGGTAAGATCTCATTACCTGTGAGACCTGAGAAAAACCTCCTTCAACTTGTCAAGCTCTAATAAAATGTTTTTTGTTGACAGCCTTCTACTGTAGTTCCTCTGGCACCAAGACTCCTGTTATCTGATCCCAGTATTCACAGCGGGAGCAAGGATAGGACTTCCCATCAACTTCATGGTTCCTAACCAAGGTTTTGTCCTTGTTGATGTCTTCCCTGACAAAAAACTGCTTGAGGTTGTGCAGTTTGGGATCTTCCCAAAAACCATCTTCCAGTCTGAAAGCTGTAAGGCCTGGATTGACATCAGAACCCCCTTTTTAAAAAATCACATTAAAAAAGAGCTTACATTTTCAGAAAGGTTTCCAGAACATGCATCTAAATTAGCTTCTTTGAATGGCATTCAAGCAGATCTTTCCACTCGAACCATACAAAGTGGTTATGAAGCTGAGCCTCCTGGTTTTGATACATTAAGACCAGCAGTGTAACTAGACCTGGAGCTCTTTAAATAATCCAAGGTGCAGGGAATGAGATCTGAAGCTAAAAGCAACCTCCAAAAACATGCACACAATAGCTTGCTAAGAAGTGAAAATAAATACAAATATTCCAATTACCATTGCTGCACTCATTTCCAGTCTCCAAAGACACCTAGCACGACCATCCCTTTCCCTCTGAATAGCTGATCAGCAGATTAAAATACTTTCATTATACTCCTTTTGTTTGAACAGGAACAATTGTGGCCATCTCTCAAAGCCTGCAGCTGAGGAACAATATCAGAGAAATGCCACACAGAAAATCTGTCAATAGGATCATTTCCAACTTATCTGAATATTTCTTCAATTTCCCTGTTAATACAAAATAAATAAAGAACACTTGCTTGCTAAATTCATGTACACTGACTGGGAAAGAAGAGGTAAGAGGAGGTGGGGAGAGAGGAGAGTGTTGCCTGAAGCAACAGGATATTCTTCAGGGATTTCTGAGATCACTGTTTTGCCGATTTCCCACCCTGACTTCCCAAAGGGACGAGGGAATTTCTGCAGTACAATCATCACTGAGAACCAAGATGTCCATCTATAGTTTTTGTAATTGAAACACCACAGCAAAATAGTTACTTCCCTACTCAGTAAAGAGTGAGTCTTACTTTGAGAAAGAAGGTGAAGCCGATCCAGGACATGCTTTGGCCAATCGTGAAAACAAACCTTAATGAACCAAAGAAGAAACTGCACGCAGATCCCATTGAGAGCATTTATGCAGCTCTGATTTCTGCAGTGCAGGCCCCATGCAGATGGTGTGAGGGTGTGTCGTGGTTTAAGCTCAGTCAGCCACACATCCGCTCTCTCACTCTCCCTCTTCCTCCCTCCCACTCCCAGAGCAATGGGGAGGAGAATCAGAAGAATGTAACTCCCACGGGTTGAGGTAAGAACAGTTCAGTAACTAAGGTATAACACAAACCACTGCTGCTGCCACCAATAATAATAATGATAAGGGGAATAACAAGGGAAGAGACTACAACTGCTCACAACCTGCCAATCGATACCCAGCCCGACCCTAGCAGTGAACTAGCCCTTCTAGGTAACTGCCTCATTCTACAACCTGAGCATGATGTGCTGTGGTATGGAATACCTCTTTGGTCAGTTTGGGTCAGGTGTCCTGTCTCTGCTTCCTCCTGGCTTCCCCTCCTCCCTAGCAGAGCATGAGACTCAGAAAGTCCTTGGTCAGACTAAACATTTGAGCAGTAACTAAAAACATCAGTGTTATCAGTGCTGTTCCCAGGCTGAAAGAAGGAGAAAAATGACTGGTACTACTGAACCCAGGACAGGGTGTGCTGGGCTTGCTCTGAAAACCTGAAAGGTGCACTCCCTTTTTCGCCCTGCAAGCTGTGGAGATGGAGGACCACAGGGGGTGGAGAACAATGTGCCATGGGGTAAGCACAAGTGTCAGCGCCTGTGCTGCCCCAAGACCCCAGAATCCTGACAGCCTCAGGGAAGCCATGTCCCCCAAGGGCAAACCTGGTGCTGGGCTTTCAGACCCCAGTGAAACAAAGCCCAAGGTTTACTATGCAAAAGTGCAGGTACAAGCTGCTGGTGCAGCAGCAACAGTACTCACAGCCTGAAAGAGATGTGATCTCCAGTGGCCTGGCAATTGACCTCTGTATGCAAAACTCATCTGGAAAAAGGCTCTCCACAGAAGCATCCAGACCCATTACAGTAGCTGATCCCACTAAATTCATCTGAAATATATCTGCTGTTTTCTTTTTTCTTTCTAGATGCTTGGACCAGACTTGCAGGGAGATGTACTTTCAAAATTCAGATTCATGCTGCTTTAAGGTTTTGTTTCAAATCTTAGCCATACAACTTCAAGCCTCATTAAGTTACAATATATAGGTTTTCAGTGAACTCAGCTGGTAAATACCGGCATGTTTCTGTGTTCCCAAGGAAAAAAAAAAAAAGAGATTTTCTACATGACTACAAGTTGCAGATGTAAAAAGTCCCAACAAAACATAAACCCAAACATTTCCCAGAGAGAACCAGCATGCTCTTTTTTAACATATGAAAAATCATTACAATCAAATCCTATTGTAAAATGCACTTCGGAATTTGTTTCACCAGCTTTATTACCTAGACATCCGGGATATTTTTATTTTTCCCCAAGTAGAAGCAAGTATCTAAATGAGAAGAAAATTGATGATATACAGCAAGCAAGTGGTTATGAAAAATAAGAGACCAAAATTTATCTCTATTGTTACTATACAGTGAAACTCATGTACCATAAACTGATACTGTAATGGAATAAATCAGAATGGTACCAATGATCATAATCCTTATTCTTTATGGTACAGACTAGAAATCAGGATTCAGGATCCCATTTTTCTTGGCATTATAAGAAGCAGAGCAGGGGAGACAGCTGGCGAGCTAATAACCTGTGTGACAGACAGAATGCTACGAGAAGGAAAAACAGAGAGGCAAAGGTTGGGAGATGGGGACAGCAAAATAACAGGGAGCAGAAGTTAGAGCTTGTCGTTTACCTAACTAGTGCCAGAGGGGCGAGCTGCGGCCATCAGAGCACAGCGAGATTTCAAAAGGGATTTAAAGGTTAACATAACAGCTTACATAAATGATTGGGACTTTTTTCCCTGCTCACAGGGTGGTGTAACACATGAAGAGAGATGAGACATGCAGGCACAGAGGTGACAGGAAGCACTGGCAGAATAAGACACAGTATGGAGAGAAGATTTTTCAACCACTTCTGGGAAGAAAGGGGTAGGATGCGATCAACAGGGATGTCTGCTTCCAGCAATACATTTACTGCACTTGAAAGGGGAGGAAATACATATGGTCTGGATGAGGGTCAAAACAGCCTGGAAATATTCCTCTCAGGTGGAGCTCAGGGACAGTTAAACTGTGCAGGCGAGGTGAAGATCAAGGTGAAATGCCAGAAAGAGCATCTGGTGCGTAGTTGCATGGAGTTACCTGGGGCAGTACAGCTGGATGGAAGTCAAAGAACAGATTAATGCTCCTAAGGACTGAACAGGCTGAAGCAAGCCAGACCCTGGACTGACATGCAAAGAAGCAAGATTTATGTTGGCATTTCTAGGAAGAAAAAGGCTACAAGATAAATCCAGAGCTCGTTACATGATAGAGAATCCACACAGGAAAAAATGAGAACCCACACAGGAAAAAAATGCTTCTCATTGCCTTATTAATGCAACTGCTTTAATCAACAGTTGCTCAAAGGCCAGGAACCCATTCTTTCAAATGTTATTCATATGTCATTATTCATTCATATACCCAAACTAAGATAGGAACTAAGAAAAATTTCAGGATAAGCAGTCTCACTGAAAGGCAATATACAATAATTCTTAAATATGTGTAATCTTTTAATGAATTAAGGGGTTTTATATATTTATTTAGTATTTTTTTTTTAGTATGTAGACATGCCACTTGGAAGAGACATAGCTATCAGTGGTAAATAAGTAGTAGAAACTGTTTTACCTGCCAAACACCTAGGGTCAATCCTCACTCTCACAACTCTCATCCAGCAGCATGCATTAGCTTCACATCTTCATCCTTACCTGTTCTACTTTATGAAGGCATTCACTTGAGATACAGCTTACGATCAGAGGACGTAGAGATGTGTTGTTCACCAAGACTCCTGTGCTTACAATACACTTGACCCCAATGAACAGTTACTATGAAAAACAAGCTTAGTAAGGGGGGACATTTCTCTACTTGCATAAATAAAGCAATAATACAGTAGAAACTGACTCATAAGCTGAGGATTGCATGTGCTTTGGCTGCAGCATCTGTCTCGCTGTCCTAACAAGGTCAAGGCTGCATTGAGAGCATCCCGGCCTGGCAGTGCCAGGCAGGTCTGGCTGCCAAGCCCGCATGGGCAGCAGGACATGGCCTGGCAGCCCCCAGCCATGGGGTCAGCCAGCCTGAGAGACTGAGCTTTGTGTGCAGCCAGCCGAGGACGAGGCCTCGCTTGCATCAACAGGATGGTTTTCGGCATGGAACCTGCCAGCAGCTCCAACCCAGGCAAGCTGTGCTGGAGTATTGAAATCACAGACTTCAGCCCTGGTTATAATTGTGCCTGGCTCAGCCTCAGCTGAAGAACTATTTAATTTTTAACTATTTCACATTATGTATTTTATATATTTAAATTCATGGAGATCATGGAGATGTTTACTTATATACTTATATTTCATGGACTATAAAACAATAATAACAAACTCCAAATTAGTCATTTCCTTTCAGATAATAAAGTCACAATGAGAAAAATTTGTAGCTTCCAATTGTTCCAACCAGTGTTTGAAACGACATGAAAATCTCTCAGCAGTCATTACCGTTTAATTGTTTTGGAAAGCTGCAAGAGAATCACAGCAGCTTTTTTTGTTGTTTGGTTTGCTAAAAAAAAAGTTAATTTTATTCAAAATTATTAACTATTTCAGTCTCTTTATTCTTCAAAACAAAACAGAAGCACAGTAGGAAATTCTGATGAATATTCTATCAAAACATTTTTCTAGGAAATAAATCATACAGCTCATTTCTCTTGAGCCTTACAGAGAGCAACTCCATCTGCCAAAATATGTTGTCTTACGTCCATTGCCAATGAATGCTTTTTGGTAAACTGAATATCCATATGCAGTTTTGTAATCCCAGTTTAGTGCTGGGAGTTGCTAAACTCATGGATTATGCATTTAATTCCTTAAACCCAAAAGAAAAAGCGCTTGCAACATGATTAGCTTATTTGGTATTATTAAAGATCATTGTATTTTATCTAATAATTAATAAAAAGAACATACCTAATTAATATTATTTGGGGGATACTCTTGTATTTTTGTCTAGGGCTGATGTCATGTAGCCCCTGGGATGCCAAGGGAAGGGGAAAGATTTCTCTGGCAGGTGCAACAGAAAACCAGATGTGAAGTTCTCAAGAGAGAAGGCAAAGAAACCTGATGTTCAAGCACTAGTTTGAGACTCCAAACATTTTGTTTCTAACTTCATTACAAATTCCCTGTAGCAACTGGAAATATGAGTAAGGCAGGTAGCACCTGTGCTTCCCCTGCCTTGTCTGGGTTTCAGGCTCTTCCAAGCAGGAGGAAGTTGTTTCTATCCTCTCTCTGCACAAATGCAGTACGGTTGCAAACTCTGCTGGTCCTGCAGGCACTAACACGATGAAAATAAAAACAATATTTGGTTCTACAGGTATGATCCTTCAAGTCTTCTCTTAACACTCAGTTTAATAAAGAGTCTGTTTTCAACACTGCCCATGGACAACTTCCTAGCATCAAGCGCTGCATTTTTCCCAAATATACTTCTGGATCTAATCTGAGATCAGAGCTGAGTTTTTCAGGATTGAACGATTTGTTCTTATGTCTCAGATTTAGCGGATCCTTGGGAATATTTAATATCTTAGCTTTAATTAGTTTATCATATTATCATGTCTCTTATGGAAGCTGACTGAAGTTTATGAACTTTGTAGTTAGGGAACATGTATTGGGAACAGGATAACTTTTCACACCTCTGCCTGCTGTAGATTTCATCAATGATTTCACTTTATCACTTCTATACCCAGCCTGAGAGAGAATAGCATCTGGCTGCCTGCTTGTTCTAGATTTCAAATTATACTAAGAATTTGGGTGATGGATAAACTCTAGGCCCATTCTTTAAGTACCATAATCCTGATTACAAGACAACAATCCAAAGCTCCTCATGCAATGCACACATGTGCACTCTGGCAGCTAAAGCAGGATTTTTAATGTAGCTCAGTCAAAATCATTTGTTCGTACAAACAGCTTAGTATTTTGGCATTCCCAAAACATGGTAAAAAGTCATGACCAATGCCTACCTGCTTCTGTTACTTCTGTGGTAGCACTATAGACCTACAATCAACAGTGAATTTGTTGGTCCAAATGGATGATTGAAATAAACCCTTTTTTTGAGGTTACAGATCCAAGAAATCAGTCAAACCTGTTCATACTCCTCCCATTGCATGCCCAAAGCACCCAGTTAGCAAATAAAATGCCAAAATAATGTCACTAGCCCCAGGTATTGAGTACAGAATGTCTCTATGGTATAGCGATCTCATTATTTTCAGTAACAAAGAAGAAATTATATCTGCTTGGGGTTTTTTTGGTGCATCATTGCCATTAGGTGCTTTAAACATCGTGCAGTACCATAGAAACCACAAAGAGGCAATGCCCCCGTGCTGCTGCCGCTTCTATGTGGAAAAATACTCCCTTATTGAAAAAATATTCAGGGGGAAAAAAAAGAGTTTGATATTTAGCCAACATCCTGGTCCCTACAGAAGTGTTCCAGCAGCAGCCAGCACCAAAGTCAGTATGATTCATTGGATCAATAATTCTAAGGTCTGTACCTAAAAGGCTGAAAAATGTGATATAACCTGGCAGAAGAGTAATGATTGTAATGTTCAGCAAAATAGTTAATGAGGCTTGGAAAAAGCAGACTTTGGGGGGAAAGAAATACATACAGGTTTAACCTTGCACACTAGCTTGGGTAGAACATTTTGTCTTTTAGGTTAACTCTAAATTACCCACAGGCATCTTCATTTTCTCGACATTTTCAGTCTTTTATTGATAGGCCTTTTCCCCATTTGCATGCACTGTTTATGGGAAGAGGACATGGCCTCTTCTGGCTTATAATATCCATAATTGTTACTTGTTGAATGGTTGATTTTAGTAGCACAGTTACATAAAGGCACAGAAAGTGAGTTTCTTTACCTTCTCCCCTAACTGAATGTTTCCCTTTTAATTCCTTCCTTTTTCCTCTATCAGCTACCATCTGACTCCTAGCAATAAAATTATTTCCCAGATCCCTGCTTGCTCAACTTTCACTTCTCTCAGATGATATAATACCATCCTATACACAAGTATTTTTGCTCAAAGCAAGTCAAATAGCAATACTGACACAGCTGAGGCTAGTGATGTTATTTCAGCATTTCATTATTAAAAAAAATATATATATATATATTGACAACTATAATTTCCTATCATTCTGACACTCCTTGGGAAGAGCCACCTGGTCTATAAAATTATTTCCCACAAGCTGGCCTCTTTTTGAGACATCTGCAATGGCATCTGCCTCTGTGCCTTACCTGGGATAGGGACAAGGTACCTGTCATTGGATCAATTGTATCAGGAGATCAATCTGAAGAAGGAAATCTTAGGTAAATGATTTAAAACTGTTTATCCAGACAATCAAAACCCCACCTTCCTCCCCAGCAAAACACCCATCCTGCATTATCACCAATAATGATTTTCTTTAAAAATACAATTTACCATTAATTCTTTCATCTTCTAGAAGCTGAACAAAGGAAATGCGCTTTGCAAGTGTAGTAAAATATTCTACAGTTTGCCTGTATTTGTCAGCCTGCATTAGCAAGACATCTATTAGTAATCTCAGTGCCACCAGTGATACTGCACTCCCCTTCCATCTATACAGCATTGTGTCCATGGTGAAGACAATTAGATGTTTCTGATCTCTCTTCTGTAATTCACTTTCCTATCTAATCAACAATTATCCATAATGAACTTTCCATTGCTAGTTCAAACTCAGCAGTTTCTCTTGCCTAGTGTGAGGCATAAAGAAAAAAACAGTGGCAAATGGCATATAATGTTTTATGAAGTGATTTCTGAATAATCACACTTCAATTTTAAAGCTGTTTAACAGACATAGCAAATGGCAGACAAAAGAACTGAAGTGAGGAGTATGACCTATGAAACTGATGCAAATTCATTTAGAAAAACCCTTTATTAGAGAAGGGTCTCCTTGCCACAGGTCTATAAATCATGCAGTAAAAATGCAGCTTAATTGTAGAAGCAAGTAATTTCATAATTTTATATCTTTGTAGTAATCTGAGTGGTAATAATGGTGTAAATAAAAATAAACATTTTTGTCATGGTGGACGTTGCATGAAAAGTTGAGAAATATTATAAATTTACTCTGTTATTTACAATATCTCAGAGAAATAACTCAGAGATTGGTTTGCACAATCACCTGAATTAATCAATAGTTCAAACTCTAGGGTCAAGCTAATCCACCTACTCCCTGTTCACAGAAACCCCACTGCATTCAGATGCTCCAGCAACCTTTGGCAAAGCTCCTGGGGGGTCTGCGCTGAGCAGGGCAGATGGCCAGCTGGACAGGAGCAAACACTTCCGAGCCCTGTTGAGTTTTCATGCAAACACACCCAACATCACCTCCAAAACTTCATGGACTTCAGTTTTGAAGAAAGCCTGGAACAACTGTGTCGCTGGCCCATTCCTCTTGCCAAGTAGGCAGGCTGGAAGCTGCACACTGACGCTCAGAGCTCACTAAGGGAGAGACACACAGCCTAAGC